GGTGTTTAGTTAAAACATCAACAAAAGCTAATATATCATTAGACTGTTACTTAATGTCTCTAGAACTTTTCTCACTGGTAAAATATGTACAATAATAATAATAATAATATTAATATTCCTCCAGTGGTTATGTAAATAAATGAGATAAGGCTAGAAAAGCTTACACAGGAAATGTCCCTTAATAAAGCTTTAATATTTGTCCGTGATTACCATCCAGTATAAAGAACTCTGCTGGTGCGGTTCATAGCAAGTTGCACTGCTCACCCAAAGCCTGTGCTTTGTGGCCAGTTTGAATCCACCGTGGCTCCAAGGGAGAGGTTGAATATTGAACACGCATCCTTGTACATGAGGGTGAGTTATCTCCTCCCATGAGCCTTACAGCCTTGGAAAGCTGTGAGTTCGTTCCAGCTCTGTGGTAATAAGTTGAAGGGCTTTGTTTGTTTTATACTTCAGTGTAATCTTACCCATCATTCAAAAAAATATATTTCAAAATAAAAAATGGTTTTTATACATGAGAAATTGTGTTGGTATTTACAATATAAGTCACTTGGACTAATATGAGAATTTTAAAATAGATGAAGCCGCTAATGCACTTTCCACATTTTTGCTACTTATCATTGATTAAAAATAGAGATGAAACTTTTTTTTTTAAATTTGTTGAGTTCTAAAGAATCCCTCAATTTAGGATAAATTCCATTGGAAGAGAATTCATCTTGCCAAATGACTTAAGGATTAGATTGCTCTAGTCCCATCACAATTCAGCATCATTTTATCAGATTCACAGACTAGGCCAAATGCAGCTGAATGAAATTGTGTTAAGAGGAAAAGTAATAAAAACGTGCCTTCCCGTTTCTGGAGAGTGGCTGAGCACATTTTTCTTAGATGAAGCCTAACCTCTTGGTAGTTTAAGTACAAGATCAAGGAATTTTTGCTGATTGAAACAAGCCTCTGTTTGGTATGTCCATCTCTTATAAATAGAGGAAGAAAAAAATACTTCCTTCACATTTGTTACATCACTCCTGGGCAGTACATTTTGAGAGATGAAGAGTGATAAACCAGACTATATCTCTAAAAACAATGCATAGGGAGAAGAGGGAGTTAGGGACATCTGGAGTCTTAGTTCCTGAAAAAGGACCATTGTGTAAAAGGTAAAAAAATCTAACTGGTTTGTCCTCCACTGAACCCATGATTCTGGAATAATCTTTTTCTGAAGGCACAAGAGGATAATAGAAGTAGAAAATGTAACATTTCTCATTATATTTGTGCAGGATAGGTATCTGATTCTTTTCAAAGCCCTAACATTTTAAAATGTGTCGGTAAAGAACATTTATTAACATTGAAATACTCTGCAAGAATGCTTGCTCCGCTTACATCTAAAGAGATGCTTCCACTTGCTTGAAGCTGCAAACATTACGAGAAATCTGTTTTATTAACTTTGTGAAATCTATCCAGGGAGTAGATTCTAATAGCAAATAAATCCTGAAAATAATACAAAAGCCTTGATTTTTAATTGTTCACTTACTGACTCTGGGTTTCCTATGCCCTCTCTCAGTTTGCAGTACTGGAAAACTGTGTGAAAATGATGGGGACCCTGCATCTTAATGTGGGGAAAAGTGTTAGGTCTGCTTTCTGAGAGTCTGTTCAGAAAAGGGTTCTGAAATGCTTTCATATGGAACATTTACTTTTTTCAGTAAGCAGCCTGAGATTATTTGAGATTTTAGGAAGGAAAAAAAAAAATACAAACCCACCCAAATAGATGTCCTGGCCTCGTTTTCCTTGCCTTCTTCCACTTCCCCACTGGCCCTTCTCAGGATGAAGGGCGAGCACACGCCCACAGGATGTGCTGCTCCGTTCTGCTCTGAGAGCATCCAGCTTTTATGTAGTCACCCTTGTGTTCTCTGTGCCGGTCACCTCACGATGAACTCCCCTGGCTGGCCCGGTTTCCGTGGCTCACAGATGCTTTCAGTGGGTGTGGGGTAGGACACAGGTGACAGCCCTTGCCTCCATCACTTCTCTCCCTCCCCCAAACCCCATGCAGAGGAAACTGCCTGCTGTGCTGTCAGATTATGATCTGAGGGTGTCTCTACTTGGTCGCCTCTCCCTCTGCTCTACCTTCACCAACAATATTAGCAGAGCTGTCCTGGCTGCTGGTTTTTCCTCTGTGACATTCCCATCGCCCCTTCTAACTGTACCACTTCTTTGCAGCTGCTGGTTGTCAGCATTTTTGTTGTCCTCCTCCCTTCTTTTTTCATCTCTCCTTTCTTTTAGTTTATCAACCTTCCCAGGACAAGGTTGTTTCTGATCTAAAAGTGCTCTCGTTGTTATCCCTACAGTCCCTACTCTGCAATTTGGGTGAAAACGGATTCTTGAGTTTGCTACACTCTCAGCTGCTCATTCTAGAGGGGTTCTGGGAAACAGATCTTAAAATCGCTCGAGTTTACTCTGGGCAGCATGCAGGTGTGATGTGTACCACACACTCGTAGATCATTTCCAAAATCTCTGTGCATTCCAGAACATCATCTGTTTGGCCAGTTTCAGAAGATGGGAAAATCGGAGAGACTTCATTGATTTGTGAAAGACTGAAATGGGATCTGTACCTGAGTCCCACAGATACATTCTTTTTCTGTTTTCACATATATCTTTACATCATGTAAGCGTCGGATATAGGAGTCTACTGTAAACGTTGTTTTGATCTGTGAATACAACAGTTTAAATGCAGTTTCTCCGAAACTTCATGAGAATATTACTCATGTCTCTTGATCATGTGATTTTGGCAAAACTGACAGAGGCGGGTACCTAGTAACCACATTTTCTCTTCTGGTAATTTGAAAACCACAGGTTACATCCTTTGGTCTAAGTACTAAAAAGTTTCTTCTTTAATCTAGTGGAAAATTCTGTCTAGTGTACAATCCATTGTAACCTTGTGTTCATACAACTTTCTCTCTCTTGATTGCTTTGTAAATACTTGCCTAGATTTTTTCAGGCTTTCCCTTAAATTATGGAAAACATACTCTGATTTATGTTGAAAACTGATCTAATGCTATACTAGTCACTTGCTATAGTTTTATAGTTTATGATTCAGTAGCTCCTTTCTAAGTACATTTTATTGAGCATAATCTAGTGTGTAGATTACCTTCTGTGTGCCCTTTCCCAAAGTATGTTGTGTTTTCCTTTGAGTCTGGTTAACCCTCCACTGGGTTTTCAGAGGCATGGTAGAAGATTTCCTGTCTTTCTTCCTCAGAGCAGCTAGTGGATTCAAACATCATGCCTTCAGGATTGCAAGTGCAGCTTCTTACCAGAGCTCCCTTTCCTAAAGTATAGGCATTTCCAATTGAGTATGCACAATTCAGATTCATAGGAGCTTTCTAAACATGAATACCTTTCTTACCTGGTTGTGAGGTTACATTTATTTATGTGATTATTCTTTCAGAGCAGCTTGAACTTCCTCCTTCATCACCATTGCCTCTTGATCCATTCTTCGATGTCAGCCAGTTCTTTTTGGTGTAGTGACTCAGGATACTCCTTCCATCTTCTTTTGATGCTTCCTGGATCAATCAGTATTCTGCCCATAGATAGCATCCTTAAGTATTGAAACTCAATACTTGAATTTGTTCTTCACTTCCTTCAGCTGAAGAAATGCCGAGTGAATTCATCCCTTTTCATTTTCCAGTTTCAGCTCTTCACACATTTAACTGTAACACTTTGCTTTGTATTCGAGAGCTGCCTTTAATTTTCATTCCTTTGATTTCTCTGGCCTCTAGTACAATATCCTTAGTCTCTTCTAACATCCATCTGTGGTTTTTTTCCCCTCCTCTGTCTTTATAATGGCCTTATGCATTCTTCCTGAATAATATTCTTGATATCTTTTCATAGTTCGTCTGGTCCTTACTCATTAGTGTTCAAGGCCTCAAATTTGTTCCTAAGACAGTTTTTAATTCTGATGAGACAGACTTGAGGTCAAATTTTGGTTCTACTGAATTTGATTTCATTAGCTTTAGTTTGATCTTGCATAAGAGTAGTTGACGGTCTCTTCCACAATCAACAACTGGCCTAATTTTCAAAGATGATATGGAGCTTCTCCATCAGAGAGGTGGACAGTGACCAAAGATGACAGGAGAAGAATTGATACCTTTCAGTGGTGCTGGAGAAGAGTATTGAACATAATAACATGGACTGCCAAGGGATTAAACAGGTCTGTTCTGGAGAGGCTGAAGCCAAGCTGCTCCTTGGGGGCAAGGATTTTGAAGCTCCATCTCACATAACATTGACCATGTTGCCAGGAGGGATGAGTCTTTGGAGAAGGACATCATGCTTAGAAGGGTGGAGAGACAGCGCAGGAGAAGAAGACCATGGAGGAGATGGATTGACTAGGTTCTGGGATAATTAGGGTAGGTGTGTCAGAAGCAGTGAGAGACAGAGCTTTAGGATAGAACAGGATTCTGTGTTCTCTCATCTGTGTTCAGAGCTATGCTCAGAGCTACTGTGTATAGGGTTACTATGAGTTGGAATCAACTTGACTGTACATAAAAACAATAACAGAGTGATTATTACTTGATAATAATTAATCTGAAATTATACCCAGGAGGGAAAAGTTGTCTTTTATTTCCTTCTAAAGGGAGCTCTGGTAGTTACTGGTAAGGATCTGTGCTGCCAACCCAAAGTTACATGGTTTGAATCTACCAGCTGTTCTGTGGGAGAAAGATAGACAGTCTCCTTCCATATGATTTACTGCCTTCGAAAACCCATTGCAGGGTCAGCTATGACTCCATTCCATCTTGATGGCACATAACAACAACAACAAACTGTGGGTAATAAACTCTTTTATACTAAGTTATTTCAGAAAATTGATGTACAAACATAGAGAAAAAGGAATCCTATGTAAAAAACAAAATAAAACTCAGTATGCCTATTATGGATTCTGATGGTGCCATGGGCTGTATGTTGGGCTGCTAACCAAAAGGTCAGGAGTTTAAATCCACCAGCCATTCCAAGGGGAAACGATGAGGCAGGCTGCTCCTGTGAAGATATGCAGCCAGGAGAGGGGGCACTGTAAGTCAGAATTACCGTAGGGGCTGCAGATTAGTATATCCGTTTAGGTTGTCTGCTGTGTATGTGCAGAAACAGTGCTTCTGGCACAGAAACACCGGCATCTCCCTTCCACTAACTGCATATGGGGGAAGAGTCCCCATCAAGAACATTAGCAACACAAGCCTCAACCTTTTGGTGAAAATTGTACACAATTTGGGTAAATATTGGCATGCATTTTAGTAGTAACCAGAGTTATTCAGTGTGGAGAAAGCCACCAAGTAATTGCTTTACCAGAGAACATTCTGTAATTAGATTTCACAATAAGCTGTGGCTGACTCTGAGAAGAATGGGAATCCCAGAACATTTGATTGTGCTTATTACATGAAACCTACACTTGAACCAAGAGGCATTTGTCAGAACAGAGCAAGGAGACACTGCATGGTTCAAAATCGGGAAGAGCGTCCTCCAGGGATGTTTTCTGTCTCCATACCTTTTCAATCTGTATGCAGAACAGATCATCCAGGACACTGCACTGTACGAGGAGGAATGTGGCATCAGGATTGGTGGAAGATTCATCAATAACCTGCATTATGCAGAAGATACAACCCTGCTTGCTGAAACTGAGGAGGATCTGAAGCACTTGCTGCAGAAGATCAAGGACTGCAGCCTTCATTATGGATTAAGACTCAATATCAAGAAGATAAAGATTCTCACCACTGGACCAATTGGCAGCATCAGTATGGATGGCGAAGAGATTGAGATAATTAACAGTTTTAGCTACTTGGCTCCATAGTTCACAGTCTTGGTACCATCAGCCAGGAAATCAGGAGATGAATTACATTGGGAAAGTTAGCTGTCAGGGACCTCAGTAGAGTAGTGAAGAGCAACAATGTCAGGCTGGAGACCAAGGTGCACCTGATCCGGGCTATAGTCTTTGCAATTACATACTTTACGTCAGAGAGCTAGACAATGACTAGGGATGGTAGAGAATTGAGCCTTTGAGCTGTGGTGCTGGAAAAGAGTGTTGAATATACCATGGACTGCTAGGAGAACAAACAGGGTTTGTCCTGGAGACGGTGAAGCTGGGCTGCTCTTCAGAGGCAAGGATTCTGAAGCTTCGTCTGATACACTTTGACATATTGCACAGAGAGACCAGTCCTTGGAGAGGGACATCATGTTTGGGAGAGTGGAGGGACAGTGCAGGAGAGGAAGACCCTTGATGAGATGGATCGATTTTGTGATTGGGGCAATGGGAGTAGGTGTGTTGGAGACAGTGAGGTTGACACAGGATAGAACAGGGTTTTGGGCTATTGTACTTAGGGTTGCTATGAGTTGCAAGCAATCAAGGGCACATAACAATTAGATTTTTTTTCCCCCTCCTTGGGTGTGTGTGTGTGTGTGTGTGTGTGTGTGTGTGTGTGTGTGAAATATTCTTCTGGTGCTATAGCACTGTTCTGTGCATTGCTGTACAGAGGTAACTCGTGGTTGCTGTGATGCTAAACACTGTGACACGGATGTACCAAATGTGATAATGGTTACCCATGGTGGACAGTGTTTGGTGGAGCTTCTCGATTAAAACAAGCTTGGAAGCAGGAGTGGCAGCCACTTCCGAAATGGCTTGCCTCCGGAAACTTTATGAACAGTGCTCAGGTCTTCTGTTCATAGGGTCGCTCTGAGTTGTCTACGACTCGACGGCACCTAACAACTAACAACAACATGTATGTAAGATAGATGGAAGGTTGAGAGGGTAAGTGGTGTTTCAGAAAGAAGTTGTGTGTCGCCAGTACTTTAAACATTGAATAGGAACTGTTGTATCAAATATTAAAAAATTCTCCTGATCTAATAAATTTAGCATTCTTATAAGCAGTGCCTATTTATAAAGATTCCTAAAATGTGATAAACATTTCCTATCTCATGTTATATTTGTATTTTGTTTTTCATTAGAATGAATTTTAGAAAGTAGCCTTTAGCTGTGGAAGTGGCCAAGTGGTAAGAATCCATGTCGCAATACCCAAAGTAGCCTTTTTTTCCCCAAGTTAGAACTAGCACATAGCTGACCTTTTTTTTTTATTTTAG